TGAAGTCTATAGTCTTTAATCTTCTGCAGCAAGTACTTCAGATGCTTCTCACATTAAGCAGGCAAGGTGGTGTCATCTGTATAACACAGGTTGTTGATGAGTCTTCCTTGGATTTGGATGCCACGTTCTTTTTCACAGAGTCCAGCCTCATGATTTTTATGCTCAGCCTACAGATTGAATAGCTATGGAGAAAGGATCCAACCCTGATGTCTACCCTTCCTGATTTAAAACCATACTGTGTTCTCTGTGGAACTAGCTAGATAGTCATATGAGCACAACAAAGTAGTCTGGGATTCCGAGCAAGCTTGATAGAATCACAATGGAAAAGAGAGATGGGTTAACACAGTGGCTGCAGTAGTGTGAGCAAACACAGCAAAAAATTGGGTGGATGGTGCAGGACCAGGCTGGGGTTCGTTCTGTCTGTAGATAAGTGGGGGTGCTGTGGGTCAGAGTCAAATGACCCTTAACAACAAGGCCATGCAGTGGTTAAGCCCTGGTTTGCTTTGTGTGAGAAAGGCTGTCTGCCTCTCTTCTCTGAAGATTACAGGCTAAGAAATGCTCTGAGCAGCTCTGCTTTGCCTATAGGGCAGCTGTTAGCTGAATTAGGTTGGAGGAGTTGTGGTGGTGCAGTGTTTAAGCACATGGCTACTCACTAGTAACAGAGACTCGTTACCTCGGAGCTGAGGCAGGAGGCTTCCCAGCTCTTTCAGGGAGAGCTGGATGGATTCGAGCCGCTTGCCTTTGAGTTGACAGCGCAACTCTTTACCCACTAGACCACGGGAGCTCCCTCTTCTCCTGTGGAGAAAGACGAGGCATTAAGATTGCAGCCTGGAAACCCCATGAAGCAGCTCAACTCTGTCCTCCAGGGCCGTGGTGAGTCAGAACCGACTCCACGGGGCACGCGCAGCAAAAAAACAGAAACAGAAACCAAGAGGGCTTCAGATTCTGGAATCCTGGCTTGTGAACTTTATTACAAACCTTTGGAGAAAAAAAAATGTAATTGAGAATTCATTACATCGTTTCTCCCTTAGAGGGACTAGGCGATTTGAACTGTTGACCTTTTGGTTAGCCCAGTGTTTAACCTTTTGTGCCATTTGGCTCCCCAGGCTGAGGTATATGACCTGGCATTTTATGACTGACTTATGTCACTAAGCATCGTGTCCTGTGGAGTATCTGTGTTATGCGGTTTCATGAATTCTTCATAGTTTTTATAGGGATGCATAATACTCTTTGTACGAACGTATCATAGTTTGCTTAGCGATTCATCATCTGTGTGATATTGCTTTTGTCTCTTTGTATCTTATAAGTAATGATACAATAAGCATGGCTAAATGTATGTCATTTTGTGTTGTGTCTCTATTTCGTTGGAATATATACCCCCGTAGTGTGATTGCTGGATCAAATGATATTTCTTTTTAAAAAATGTTTGTGTGTGTACCCTCAAATTGGATCTGACCATTACAGGAGGAGATTGCCCCTCCTTCTTCAGCTGAGCATCTGGTGGATTCGAACCACATACCTCTGGGATTACAGAGCAGCTTCTTGCCACTAGGCCACCAGAGCTCCCTTCAAATGATATTTCTATTCCCAGCTGTTTTAGGAAACATCAAGTCGCTTTCCATACGATTAACCATTTTACATTCCCATCAGCAGTGTATCCAGGTTCCAGTCTCTGCATACCGTCTCCACCAGTTGTTGTCTGAGAGAAGACTTGGACTTCTAAAGCAGAGCATTAATGAACTTATCAACCAATTTAAAAATTTGTTGCCCTTAAGTCAGAGATGCGTTCTGTCTCCTTACCTTCTCAATCTATAAGAAGAACAGGTCTTTCAGGAAGCAAGGCTTTATGAGGAGGAGTGTCGCATTAGGATTGGAGGAAGACTCATCAACATCCTACATTATACAGATGACACAACCTTGCTTGCTGAAACTGAGGAGGACCTGAAGTGCTTGTTGTAGAAGGTCAAGGACTGCAGTCTTCAATATGGATTGAAGTGCAACATCAAGAAGGTGAAGATTCTCACCACTGGACCAATTGGCAGCATCAAGATAGATGGAGAAGAGACTGAGTTTAACAATTATACCTTGCTTGGCTCCACAAGCAACACTCTTACCAACAGTCAGAAAATCAAAAGGTGAATTATACTGGGAAAATCTGCTGTCAGGGACCTCTCCAGAGTACTGAAATACATCGATGTCAGTCTAGAGACTAAGGTCTACCTAATCCAGACCATGGTCTTTGCAATTATTTGCTATGCTTCAGAGAGCTAGAAAATGACTAAGGATGACAGAAGAAGAGTTGATACCCTTGAAGTGGGCTGCTGGAGAAGAGCCTTGAACATGCAATGGACTGCCAAGAAAACAAGCAGGTCTGTCTTGGAGAGGGTGAAACCAAGTTTCTCCTTGGAGGCTAGAATTTTGAAGTTCTGTCTCACATACTTTGGGCATATGGCCAGGAGAGACCGGTCCTCAGAAGGGTAGAGGGACAAGTGCAGAAGAGGAAGACGCTGGATGAGATGGATTGATACAGTAGCTTGTACAATGAGGGTGGATGTGTCCGAATTAGTGAGACTGGCTCAGGACAGGGCAGGCTTCAGAGCTGCTGTACATAGGGTCGCTAGCGACTAGATGGCACGTAACAACTACAAGAACAAGTTGTGGAAAAGGTAGCTCTAGTAGCTACCAACAGTGGTGTCTCTCTGGAGGTTCAAATCTACCAGTCGGCTTCTCTGGAGAAAGATAGGCATTTTCCTCCAAAAGTCCTTCCCGATTTGCAGGCTCTGAAAACCCACTGGAGGGTCAGACATGCGTGGGTGTGGACTCAGTGACACATCACAACAACAAACACAAAGCAATCAATTCTCTATCCTAAGACCGTGGAAACACTTTAATTCCCAGTGAGTTTAAGGCTGAGGAGTTGGCAGGGAGACGCTGGCTGGACAATTATTTTGGGAATAGCCACGCCCTCAATCCAACACGTGGTCCTAGTAGCTGTCAAACTTCTGGGTATGTTGGTCATGTGACACAATATTGGCCCAATCAGAATAAAGCATCCCTCTTGCCTGCAATGTTGTTGTTGTTGTTATGCGCCATCGAGTCGCTTGCGACTCCTAGCGACCCTATGTACAACAGCCCTAAACTCTGCTCTGTCCTGTGCCAGTCGTACTGTCTCTGACACTCTCATCCCAATTATCCCAGTCACTGAATCAATCCACCTCATAGAGGGCCTTCCTCTCCTGCACCGTCCCTCCACCCTCCCAGGCATGATGTCCTTCTCCAAGGACCGGTCTCTCCTCACAACATGTCCAAAGTATGTTAGACGGAGCCTCAGAATCCTTGCCTCCAAGGAGCCACCCAGTTTAACCCTTTCCAGGACAAATCTGTTTGTTTTCCTAGCAGTCCATGGTATTCTCAATACTCTTCTCCAGCACCACAGCTCAAAGGCATCAATTCTTCTTCTATCCTCCTTGGTCATTGTCCAACTCTCTGATGCATAACAGGTGATTGCGAAGACCATGGCCTGTATCAGGTGCACCTTACTCTCCAGAGAGACACCATTGCTCTTCAGCACTTTGGAGAGGGCCCTAACAGCAGACTTTCCCATGGCAATGCGCCTTTTAATTTCCTGGCTGCTGGTGCCAATACTGTTGACTGTGGAGCCAAGCAAACTAAAGCCGTGTACAATCTCAATCTCTTTTTTTTTTTTCAATCTCAATCTCTTCACCATCCATCCTGATGCTGCCAATTGGTCCAGTGGTGAGAATCTTTGTCTTCTTGACATTGAGCCTCAATCCATATTGCAGGCTGCAGTCCTTGACACTCTGCAGCAGGCGCTTCAGGTCCTCTTCAGTTTCAGCAAGCAGGGTTGTGTCATCCACAAAACGCAGATTGTTGATAAATCATCCACCAATCTTGACCCCACATTTCTCCTCATAGAGCCCAGCCTCCCAGATAATCTGTTCTGCATATAGGTTGAAAAGGTATGGAGATAGGATGCATCCCTGGCGTACGCCCTTCCCAATTTTGAACCATGCAGTGTTCCCTTGCTCTGTTCTGACGACTGCCTCCTGGTCCAAGTATAGGTTTCGCATTAGAACGATCAAGTGTTCTGGGATTCCCATTCTTCTCAGAGTCAGCCATAGTTTGTTATGATCTACAAAGTCAAATGCCTTTGCATAGTCAATGAAACACAGATAGACATTCCTCTGGTATTCCCTGCTTTCAGCCAAGATCCATCTAACATCAGCTACAATATCTCTAGTACCACGACCCCTTCTAAACCCAGCCTGGACTCCTGGTAGTTCTCTGTTGATGTGCTGTTCCAGTCGTTTTTGGATAATCTTTAGTAAAATCTTGCTTGCATGTGAAATCAGTGAGATTGTTCTGTAGTTTCCACATTCTGTTGGGTCACCTTTCTTTGGGATAGGAACAAATATCGATCTCTTCCAGTCAGTTGGCCAAGTGTCGTTCTCCAGATTTCTTGGCACAATTTGGTGAGCACGTCCATGGCAGCATCTGTTAACTGAAATATGTCACTTGGTATACCTTTTATTCCTGGGGCCTTATGTTTTGCTATGTCCTTCAAAGCAGCCTGAACTTCTTCTTTCATCACCATAGGCTCTTGCTCATATGTTGTTTCATGAAATTGGTTCCAAATTAAGCAGTGGATTCCTGTTGTTGTGAACCGTGGAGTCTGAACAGATACACAGCTGATCCTATGGTAGTTGTTTTGGGTTTTTTTTCTGGCACAGTCCTAAGGAATTGGATGTGTTCAAGAAAGCGAGCCAGTGTCTTTCAGGCTTGAATCTTGGGTCATATAGGGCAACTGATGGCCCTTGTCATTAGGTCGTTCAGGACCCCACATGGGTCCGTTTTGGGTATAGGAAGATCCTATTAGGATCCTATAGGGCGCAGAACTGGATGTCCAGGGATTTGAGGGAAAAAAAAAAGAGAGGACATTTGTAGTCAAAGGCTGAGTTTCTACGTTTCTCATTTCCCAGGCTCCCCTGCCTCGGCCCAGGATGAGCGCCCAGGAGCAGCTGGAGCGCATGCGCAGACATCAGGAGAGTGGACGGTCCCTCCCTCACTCCTCTTCCTCCAAGCTCCTCACTCTAGGGAGGACTCTGTCCCCCGCCAGACGCCACCCGGACCCGGAGCCAAGGGTGAGGACAGCAGTTTGGGAAAATGGGGAGATGGGGAAGATTCTGGGTCTTTGCCTTCTGTAGCTTGGGTTTTTAGTTTGCCTCTTGTTTTTTTTTTAAATTAATTTTTTAAAAATTGTATTACTTTTTGTGCGTGTACCGTCAACTTGGATCTGACTGGCACAGGAGGAGATTGCCCCTCCTTCTCCAGCAGAGCATCTGGTGGATTCGAACCACGTACCTCTGGGATTGCAGGGCAGCTTCTTGCCACTAGGCCACCAGAGGCCCCTTGGTTTGCCTCTTTTTAAAACGAGGTTGCCCCCTCCTTGGTTTCCATAATCACTTGCGCTCCACAGGCTTTCTGGCCCCCCTGGAGGTGGGAGGAGTGGGAGAGGGTGTCAATAAGACCCCGCTCCCGAAGCACTTTCTCCTCAGTTTGGGTGTATGTAGTTGCTATGTGTGGTCAAAGGTATTAGTTTATAAAACAAGACTGTTACCAGAAAAGAATTGGTCTGCCTCTTGTCTCTGGATGAAACAGTCTTGGAGATAGGATTGAAGTTGGAAAAGCTTAAGTTTTCTTATATTTGTTTGTGTACGCAAGACAGGTGATATGAGCTTCCCAAATCTGTCTCAACAAGAGAAGGTTCTGAGTGGATATTTGTAGGCTAATTTAAAGGCAGAGCCCTAAGTAAAATAATAATAATATGAAGGGAGCTCTGGTGGCCTAGTGGCAAGAAGCTGCACTGCAATCCCGGAGGCGCGCAGTTCGAATCCACCAGATGCTCTGCTGGAGAAGGAGGGGCAATTTCTTCCTGTACAAGGCAGGCCCGATTTGATGGCACACACACACAAAATAATAAAATAAAATTTAAAATAATAATAATAATAATAATAATTTGAGAAGCTGGACTATATGAACAAGAATGTGGCATTAGCGTTGGAGGAAGACTCTTCAGTAACTTGCATTATGCTCATGGTGCAGCCTTGCCTGCAGAAGGTGAGGAGGACTTGGAGTACTCACTGCAGAAGATCAAAGACGATAGCCTTCAGTATGGATTAGGACCCAACATAAAGAAGACAGAAGTCCTCACCACTGGGCTGATATCAGGGCGACATAATGATAGAGGAAGGTTAAAGTTTTCAGTCACTGCATTTTACTTGAATCCGCAATCAACACCCATGGTAGCAGTAGTCAAGAAATCAAAAGACTGCACTGCAATCCCAGAGGTCCGTGGTTCAACTCCACCAGATGCTCTGCTGGAGAAGGAGGGGCAATCTCCTCCTGTGCCAATCAGAACCGATTTGA